CTGTTATTATAATTAATATTGTAGAAAAGTGTCTTCAGTTGTTGTTATTAGCTACATAAAATAGTGTAGTCTTTGGTGTAATTTTTAATTTGGGAAATTTAAGATATCCTTACATAAAAATTTTGTTTATTTACGTTACTTACGTGCTTTAACGAATTAAATTGTAACTGAAAGTTAAAGTCATCTCATGGCACTCAATATGTAATTAAATCTAGTTTTTTCAGTTTACTGGAGCCAGCCTTTACATTAGTTTTGACCTAACATGTACAGTCTGCATGAACAATTACAACTTGTATACTTATTGACTGTTACTTATAAAAGTAAAGCAACTACTGCTCTTTCAGTTCAATGAATGTAGACTCTTTTTCTGCATCTTGTACAGTATTCTTATCTTTTCTATGTGTTGAATCTTTCATAAGATTTCCTAAAATGATTCCTGCAAATAGAATCATTCCTACCCTGTGATTGGAGATGAATTTATTAGAACAGTCCTTAGGATTGTTGATGTTTAAACTATAGATCTAAAAATATATTTATATCAAATATTATTCTACTTGAACACATATGTATATAACATATATACATATATATAATATACACATACACTTTTTCAATTATTCGTAATTTTATACCTGATTAGCGAGATGAGTACTAACTAATCCTACTGCTGCATAATATGGCCAAGTTTGTGCAATTAATAAACCTGATGCAATTAACCCTGTTATCATGGCTCCACTAAATCCAGATAAGTAAATTTTTGTCTTGTCTCCAAACTTTAAAGCAGTGGACTTTACACCTAGTATAACATCATCTACTTTGTCCTATAATTCAAACACATATTTGTTAAAAGATAAATGCTACATGTTAAGTAAAATATAAAAAGAATCTTAAAATTACCTGATGGGCATATATAGTATCATACAGAAGTGTCCAACAAATTCCAGCAGTATAAAGAGGTAGACATACAGACCAGTTGCATGATCCATGTACAGCAGACCACCCCAAAAGTGCACCCCAATTAAAAGTCATACCCAGTATCAATTGTGGCCAATAAGTTACTCTTTTCATGACAGGGTATAGTATGACTAAGACTGTAATAAAAAATTTAACAATTATACAACAGTATTTATCTTAACAGCATTTCCAAATTTTAATTTAGAAATTTTTTAAAAAGATAACCAGACAAAAAAGAATGTAGTAAGTAAATTATACTACTAATAAGAGTAATATAGAAATATTTAAAAGGTTTACTAAAACAGCTAATAAAATTGAGAAATACTGTTTCGCATTACTGTTTGAAAAAAGTACCTAGTGAGCTTGCACCCAATATAATACTGTAAAGATTTAGTTGTAACAATATTAGCAATCCCAAAGTTAATTGGCTTCCAAGGAAAATCAATGATTGAAGGGGTGAAATTTCTCCAGTAACCAATGGTCTATCTTTTGTTCTGGCTACCTAACATTAGAAAGTTCTTATAATATCCAACATTAAAATATTTTCAAGATCAATATTACCATTCCATCGATATCTTGATCCCACATATCATTTATGATACATCCAGCTCCACGCATAATGAATGCACCTATTCCAAAAATAGTTAAAAGTTGAAGATCTGGTAGGGCACCTGGTGCTGCTGCCATGGCTATGCTCCAACCACAAGGCCAAAATAGTAACCAAGATCCTACATATGTGTAAATTATTCGCAATTGCTTTCTTATTTTAGAATTCTTTAATTAATGAAGTCAGAGTTACTATAATTTTAATAATAATTTACAATGTAATTAATGCATATCTCACCTATCGGTTTATCCATTCTAATAAGTTTTAAGTATGGCTGTACTCTAGCTGGAGAATTATTTACTAATCTTGTAGCAAATGTAGTACTTCGTTTTGGTTGTATATTTGATTCTTTAATAAATTGTGCCGTTTCATCTCCCTCATTTGAAAAAAATCTAACAGACTTAACTATTTTTTGCGTTGACGTTTTCTCATGTTCGTTATTATATTTATTATGTATGCACGATTTAGTGTGAACCGCATTGCAGGAGTACAAATAGTTAACGATACGTTTTCTTTGACTAGATTGTACATAGAATTTTAGAAACTTTTCATGTGCGAACAATTGTTGACACCACCGCATCATTATCATTCCTCCGTATTTTATCTATCATAAATAATGACTCCTGAATTCATATAACTTCAACTCCTTTTAATTCGACTCATGTTACAATAAGTATAAATAATTGCCAGAAGCAGTAGTCGTATATTTATAATAGAAGTATGACTATTTACAACTTCTAAGTCATCGTAAGAACAGATCTATCGGCGGCATTTCTGTACATTATATAAGGAATTCCGTAAATTGTGTTGTAGATTCAACCGTCATGCTTTACAGCAGAACTGCGTGCATGCACTCGTTGCATAATACTTGAGCATGCGCAGTCGCTGATTGTATTCTCATACGGTAATAGTTAAGAAAATATTGATTAAAGAATATGACGAATAAATGACAAGGAAACATTTTTCTAGTGTTAATTAGAAACTATCGGAGTATACAAATTCCATTCAACGAATTTCTGTTTAGCTGGACCTACATTTTCTTGATTTAAGTAAGTATATAATATGCAAATGTTATAATTGAATAAATAGTAAATAGATAATTTAGAAAATATATTTAGACATACATTTATATTATTAAAATAATATGGGTTCTCGTAAAAAGTTATTACATACTTCGTGTATATTTAAAAATTAAGTACTGTGTGTATACATATAAATTTGTACTAACATACACGAAATATTAAATGTTCATATTCAGGAATGACGTATATCCATATATATGTAATATCATAGTGCATAAGATTACGCGTATCAATGTTATCAGAAATGATAAACTGCAATTTTAAAAAAGCCATTCATAAAAAAATCGTTTTGATTAAATTGATTGCACGTTAACTTGCTAAGTTCAACTAGAAAACTTGAATTGTATGTATGTTTCGTTTGATGTTTATTCAAAAAGCACGCCATAATCCATTGAAGTTGGTATCCGTAGAATGTGTACGTGTAAAGAAGAATATTGTAATCTTTTATGTTTAAGGTATTCCTAACTGAGGTGCGACGTTTTACGATGTCTACCGCTAAGAAATTTGAAGTTTTATTTGTTTTGGGTGGTCCTGGCGCAGGTAAAGGTACCTTGTGCAGGTACATCACCGAAAAGTATGGTTATGTGCATTTATCAGCTGGCGATCTATTAAGAGAAGAACAAACGAATTTGGACTCGCAGTATGGGGAACTCATTAATCGGCATATTAAGGAAGGAACGATCGTACGTGTTGAAATTACTTGCAGCCTCTTGGATAGAGCAATGCAAATGTCAGATAACCCGCATAAGAGGTTTCTGATCGATGGTTTTCCACGAAACCAGGATAATATCGATGGTTGGAATAAGGTAGAAAAACATTATTTATTCACATCAGTTATGAAATAGTACTGTATAATGAACGTCTTTGTCCATTTATCTACTGTATTCTTTTGTTGGCAGGTAATGTCTGAGAAATGTATAGTAAAAGGTGTGTTATTCTGTGACTGTAGTAAGGAAGTATGTACAGAACGGTGCTTAAACCGTGGAGCTGCAGGAAGTGGTAGAACTGATGACAATGAGGAAGTTTTAGCGAAAAGACATGAAACATATATCACCAGCACCTTACCTATAATTGAACATTTTGAAAAGCAGGGTGCAGTGTACAAAGTAAACAGTATGCAGGCACCAGACAAAGTATTCGAAGAGGCTAAAGAAATTTTAACTGAGATAGGATGGTGATAAATTTATAGAAAAACAAAATTATCTCAAGGAGATCAAATTATACCCCAATTGCAGTTAACATTATTTTATTACAGAAAGTATATATATTTTGTAGATAAATTTTATTCTTATCCTTTTTGCATTTATAGAGGTGTTAGATCACTTTAGTTTTAAGATACATGGTCTTAATAGTTTCTCTTTGTTGTAAGGGATTGTGCAATGTTTACTGTGCACACCCTTTCATAATCAAAGTGACAACTATTTTGTATAAAAAAATGCCAAGTATTTTGCCATAATTTTTATCAGTACACATATGGGAGAACATTTGGTATTATTTGATACAATATTGTTAAACGTTTGTTTAGCTGGTAAGAGTTATTCTAGAAAAACTGGTAATTGATGATAGCTCAAAGTACATATGCTATGTTAACTCAAATAAAGGTGAATAGGGAATGGATTATCTCTAGTATTATTAATTCTATACATAGTACATAAAATATATATTTGATGCAACAGTAACTTGTTTATCATAAACTTTCCTTTTGTAAATTTACTTCTTTTCATTCAAATGTCATAATTGGAAATATCAGTGTTGCTACAAAAATATTTAAAATAACCTTGTACTTTAAATTATTTAAAGAGCTTAATCAATCGATTCTGTTCCTGGTAAATATGACTTTTGCTCGATAATCTTTTAATAATCATCTGTTATCGATTTGTCTTGCTATATTTTCACAATCTCTTGACAGAGGCCGATGCCCTCTTATCATTATCAGCATCATCATCAAGATTCTTTTATCGCTATCATTTAATTTTCAAAGCAAGACCGATAAGTAATCGAACATATATCTAACATATATGATTCTTTTCGAGTTTATCCATTTCTTATTTTCAATTATTCGAGTTTCATTTATTAGTTTTATTTAAATATATTGTGAAGAATTTAATATGTTGTAAGTAACCTCTATATACCTCATCTGTGCCTTTACTTATTTAAAATTAATTCGATCGTTTAAATGTCCAGCTCCTGTAGAATGGCAACCAAATATTATGCACAATTTTTACAGTATTACAGGCGCCAATGAAATAAATTCTATATAACACGTTAAAGAGCATTAAACTGTTTGACACCCACTTTTATATTAACATTACTTTTATTAAAAATTTATAATTGCTATGCATTTTTTTAGAAATTTAAAATTGTATATTATTTTAATCGATTAGTATATCAATAAGTTGAAAATAGATTTCTGCATATCGAAAATTTTCCATACAAAGTAATAGAATTTTTTTCTAAATTCTTTGTGCACGTAAGAATTTTTATTTCTATTTCTACTACAAACTTTCGCATATTGTTGTCTTATCAAAGAAAGACCAGTGCTCAGATAAAATAACAGGTATTTCAGAATTACAAGTGGAAATTGGTAACTGCTTAATACGTGCAAGAAGGTAGATGGCGGTCGTCAGCGATTCCCATATTCATTGCCATTCATTTTCAAAGCACTGTAACTGTCCAAACGTCTCAAGTAACTGTGACAGCTAACAGAATGAACCACACTACTACTGTACTACTGTAAATGTAAACAATATTAAATCACAATGACGTATCCATTCCGGGGTCATGTATTAGCTCGATGAATCATTGAACTTTCAAGATATTAGATGTTGTGTATCACAGTGTACGGTTTCGTAATTCATATTATTAGAGAGAGGATAATTTTTCATCCGAAAGTAAATCGAAAAACGAAGGCTCAAACGTCAAATAAAATCCCTTTGTTGCAAGATTTTCCAAAAATCAAAAAGTTATTCTTAAGAGTGTTCGTTAATTTTTCCCAAGAATTTTTAGGTTAGAGACTTTCTATTATATTTTTGTTTTTCGTAAACTCTGTATCTATACACGCGTACATACACTTCCTGTGAAAAATTTGCATCTATTACACATTTCAAGTAGTCTACTAATTTTCAGAAGGGCAGGAAGAATTTTTGATTGGTTTGAAGAAGCTTTTAATACTAAAATTCGCGACAAAGGCATAAATTGTTATTAAGATTATAATGACGTTATAATTATATTAGTTATGAAAATGTGTTTATAATAAAAGATGTTTATAAACGAGAAAAATAATGATCACAAATAAACAGGGAATATAAAGGGTCGTATCGAACTGGAACTCGAAACCACTGCACGTGCGTTCGATTTCGAAATGCTCTTCGTACAAAGGATCTTCATTCGGAGGAATTTTCGACTTCTTTTTGGATGAAGAATCACCTGCCTTCCCCTTGAGCTACAAAGTCAATCTTGCGTAATCGCGTAAACGTACAATTAGGTGAACTGATTAATTTTCAGACACTCGTTTGTTACGGTCTTTTTTACGAGTTCCTCTGGTCCAGTTTACATTTATAATTTCGAAACGAGTGTCGAACAGTTAATCGGGATAAGTTCACGGGAATAAATAGCGGTCTTTTTTTAAATCTTTTAACCGAAGGTGTAGAACTCCCTTTTTTAATTAATAAAAACTTAGTTGTAAATGAAAAATTACAATGAAACATTTAACTGATCAATAATTTCATTAGCGATTAAATAATTTTTGTTAAACATTTGCGTGATAAAAAATATATGTTATGATTAAAAAAAGTTAGTACTTTGTCAGATATTTTTATCGCAACTTTTGAACATCAGTTTAGAAAAATTTATTTAATTTTATCTTAACAGTGTAATCAATGGGTTCTGCAATCAAGTTGAACAACTGAACAAAGTTAAAAAAAACTGTGGTAAAAAAAGAAAATTAATATTCATTGAAAAATCTCTGTCGGATTTAATTTGGTTGGTACGTCGACAGAGTTTATTTATAAACGGAGACAAAAGGCAACGTGGAAGCTGGAATTCTGCATTGAAAGATCATTGACTTCTTTCGTTGCCCGATTATAAATCGATCCCCGCTCCATCGTTAAACGTGCCTTCACCGTCAAAAGATCGACCTGTTTTCAACTTTCTCATCGGAGATAGCCGAAATCTGTATAGTTAATGAGTGACCGCACGACCGCCACGAGAAACTCTGACGTGTGAAAATAATCGTGTGGCCAAACGTTGAACAAGTTCATCCACGATGCTTTCTCGAATATTTCCTTTCGTAGACTGTCGGCATAAATTCAGATAAAAGAAAGTTCGTTAGGGAAGAAACATTAATTGTTCTATTTTCATTTTGTTTGAACAATTTCTGAAGTTCAACGAACCAATATTCCAATTTCTGTGTTTAAGGTTAGGTTAGGTTAGGTATATAAATAATTGTTTCTATAACGAATATTTTAATTTTGATTCTTTTTTTTTGTGGGCTGTAGAAAAAGGTAATAATTGGTTACCTTGTTTATGAATACAGAATTTTTCACATTGTTTTGAAATTTTTACAATTTGAATCTTTCTTCTCTTCAGAATTTCAATGCTTTTGTAAATTTTTCCGGAGAACATTGTACCCGTTCCTGTGAATTTAGTGTTTAACATATCGCTAATGACCTATTCGGAATAAGATGGCGATGACGTCAGTGGAAAGGTTACATACAGCTACTTCTAAAAAGGATTAAGTCTATGTGCATACTTCCTGCGATAACAGGTCATTAAACCTAAACAAATGTCATTTGCAGAAAAATGCCAGGATTCCCTGACGCTTAGAGAATTACAAACCATTTTATGAATCATTCCATTAATCATAAGAAGTATTGCATCTCTTTTTAAAAGGAAAGAGTACATTCTTCAATCTTTGTAGTACCTTGTTCAAGATATAAGAATTTTAAACTTCTTTATGAAATATCATTATAACCTAAATACTCTATTGACGTAATTTATAAAATTTTGATTCTGTATTTATCCTTATACACACTGTATTTACCTTAAATATTAAATTACGTCTTAATCTTTTGCGGCTCATTGCAATAATTTCACGAAATTTTCTATAATTCCTATCTCCATTCAATATCAATCAATCCATATAGTATCGAAGTTTTCTGTGTAACAACCGCGACTAGATTTCGTCGTACTGATTATCGACGCGCGAGTATGCCTTCTATTCCGTACGGTAATCTTTATCGGTCACGCTCTCTATGATTTCTGTATCTTCTTTTCATTACCAGCCGAGTTTTTCATCGAACACTCAATTCAATCTCCCATGGTCATGACTAGTATATTTTTCTGTTGGTTTTACACAAACGTGAAACTTTTTGTTATTAATAACGGAATAACTGGAAAACAAACGCGGTAATTATAGGATCAATGAACTGTTATCGATTGTACATAATCGTCCTTTCACGTTATCTCACTGACGAATATTGCACACATAATAGATGTGATTCGTGTAAAGATGACCGATCGAATCTGTAACCAGAAGATGGAGACTCGGGTGAGTGATAACTCGATGAGAATTTCGATGGATAAGTAGACTTCGTTCGTCTAACTTTCTCAAGTTTCTCGCACTGACGAACTTTCTGCGGTTTAAAGGTGTCATGTGGTCGTGAACGACGTTAGGTTTGGAGATGAGTGAAATTTTGGAGAACAGACAAAGAATAAATAGAAAGTAGTCGTCTTTTATTAACGAGATAAGAATCTTCGTGTAATCGAATGGGAGTATTCTTATTGTTAATTGTAACTATATATTAATAATAATACTATAATTTTTATTAGTTTCACAGGTTACGTTACAATGCAAAATCTTTTCACATCGATATTTTATATTTTCTCTGTAATAAAAGGTTTGTGACTGTAGTCATTTTTCCTTCAAGTTACGGTGCTCCGTGGCATTTACAAACGGAGAATAGATTTTATTTGCCCAACTTTCTCAAATTCTTTTGAAATCACCAACTTTCTAAGGTATTAAGGTTCGTAGGAATTATCGACGACGTCACTTCAAGCTTATCTTAAAATCTACGCCAAATTTAAGAATATTCCATGAAAAATAGTGAGAGTACTACAAACTTTCCCTTTTCGATTAGGTACTTACACTATCAGTCGAATATTTCGTATTACTTGTCCATTCAAAATTAATATTTCAGACATTAGCAACAATTTCAGTATTGTACAGCACTTTAAGTCAATCAAAAACTGTTAACTTTATCTTACATCTATACAAGGTATTATCAAAAACGAGACTCATTAGTTGAAGCAAAAAAAGCTCAGTCAACAAGTTAACTTCTGCATACATATTGCATTTTAAATAGTTGAATCAAGTGAGCATAGATACTTTATAGTATTACTTGTCCTTTGTTTTTACAATTTTCTCGAATTTTTGTTCTCATCGCGTTGATTTTGATTTCTTCGCAATTCTGTCTCGTGTTTCTTTTTCTCCTCGAACTTAGTATCATCCTACACTGTGTCCCGTCGATATTTGTTAGAAAAAGGGCTTTCGAATAAAAAATTAGGGTAGGTTATGAATCAAAAACCTGATTTATTGTTGAAGCGATTCACTTTCAACGAGTTTCATTAGCTTGAACAATTTGTACGTATACTTTTGATACATCCTGTATATTTTCCACGGTCAAGTTAATAGGTGAACTTCAAGACGGTGTCCTCAGTGAGTCACTGCGAGAGAAAGAAAGAAGGAGGCTCACTCCTTCCTCCTCTACTCGAGCTTCGTAGTTTTGCGCACGCGTTTTCTTTGCGACGTCTGGTGGTTACGTCTTTCTTCATCGCTGGTCACTGACGTTTTTAATTGTAAAATGCCGGTACGTTGACTTTATATTTCCACCAATGGCATACCATACACGTGATTTCGGTCAGTGAACCTGTCGCGTACTTTTTGCGGTTTTTCCCGTAATTGCTCGCGGCAATTACGCGTTAAACAAATACTCGTTCCTAGTGTTTACGTAATGGTGTTATTTCAATACTCGTACCACTCTTGGACGCCACGTTTTCCTCCTGCTGTAATTTAAAAATTAGCGAAGTGCTGATATTTTCCGGACAGAACGAGGAAATTCTCCGCCATAATATCAAATCCTTGATTTCATACACGATGTGTCTTATTCTTGACTGCAGATAAACGATTTCAGTTTTCCCTTTGCTTATTATTTCCGACTATGCTTATCGTATGTAATTATAATGTGAATGTCATATATTTGTACGTAATCTTCGTATCGATAATTATAAGGTGCACGAACAATTCTTGCGGACAAGTTGATAAGTAAAAAACATGATTTTTGAAATTTCTTATTTAAATTTAATCAATGGATTCGACTGTTTCATTGATTCTCCTTTTTAATCCTGTTCATTTGAATAACTTAATTTTTCTTTTTTTTCTTTTCGTTTTTTAATTATCGATATTTTGACTTCGTCAATATCAGAAGATACTGACTTTGAAGTGAGAATATTCGAAGCAAAAGCTCAAGCACGAATAGAAAGAGCAAAAGCCCAAGCAGCAGAAGCAGAAAAAACAGCAGCCCGAACAGAAGCAGAAAAAAACAAAAATTAAAATTTAATATTTTATTTAATTTATTTGTATTTCGAATAAAACCTTTATTTTATTGAGTTTTTCATAAATTAACATTTTTGCAAAAAACCTATCGACCATGTATGCACGACAATGATTAACATACTACTCCTTTGACGCTTATTTATCCTTTCTGTACGTTACACGAATGACAGCAACCAACGACAGGCGACACTTGCGATGACAACGAAGACGACGGACAGTATCATTCAAGACAGCTACTCGTAGTATCATAAAGTATCTACGCTTACTCATTCCGACCGTGTAACATTCAATATCTTTGAAGAAGTGAATTTTCTGATATACGTCGACTGAAACATTCATTTGAACGAGTCTCACTAGCCTGTTACAGAAACACTCTGTATATTAACACGTAACGAACAAAAGAGTATCCTACGTATGTGCATCTCTGTTAAAGAACGTCGAACAATTCGCCGGAGTTCGATGTTGGCGTGTCCGGGCCGCGGTAGCCTCTCACGCGATTCTCCGTTCGATCTTTCAGATCGACTCGTCGAATTCCTACCACAGGAGCACCAGCGGCGGCGTTCTCCCCCTCTCTTCTGTCACACTATCGGTCTCTCTCTTTCTCACTTCCTCTTCCATACGTATGCCTCATACGAGCGTGAGCCCCTTGAAAGAGAGACACATTACGCGCGCATAATCCTCCGGTCGCATCGATAAGAGGTGCCCATCGTCGACTCGAATGCTCTTACCCCCCTCAGCCCCTCAAGCAATATATAAATGCACCAGCGATTGACAGAACGTACAGTTCTCGTTTTGACGTCTCTTACGCTACTTTTACGCGTGCATACTTAACCACCAGTGGACACGTGACCGCGCACGCCACGTGCTTCGGCCGAAAAGACACGTGTGCCAACATAGCCACTATTCCACCCGTTACACCACTATCATGCGTTCCATCAATTTTTATCGAACTTCGATTTTCTCGTCCGACATTCGAAATTTTACTTACCGCTCGATCTCTTCTTCCATGGGGGGGTCATTTGTTGGCTATTTATTTATCGTGTTGTTGATTGGTTCCGGTGGAACAGCGGGCGCGGTGGACAAGCCAGATATCGTGCTGATGGATTTTCTCGCAAAACCCTTTGTACCCTCTGACGGTGCGTCCGAGCAGTGCCTCAGGGACAGCGCCATGTATTTGAGGGAGCTTGACCGGTACGCGCCGTGGGCTCTGCAGAGTAAGTTTGATTTTTTTTATTGCATTTTTCAAGCATTCCTTTTTTCGCCTTTTCGCACGACTTTTAAATCATTTTTTTACAAGCGTTTGTTTTTCGTTTTATTGGTTATATTTAGTTTTATCGATCAGTTAGTAGGATGTTGAAGATCGTGAATTAGAATCGTTGAACCTGTGGTGAGTGGTGAAGCCCTTCTTAACTAAGTTTTTGATACTTTCCTTCTAAATCCTACTTTCTCCTGTCACTTAAGTGAGATTATTTACTGTATAAATGTGCATCGATAAAAATTTCATTTATTTGTTGGTATAAGAATATAGGCATGGTAAATTGTGCATTGCAAAGCAATCGAACATAACCTATCTATTTATTATGGAAAAAAAATTTTCTATTCTCTCTGTTTTTTTTCTTTATTTTCTTTCCTACATAAGCGGATTAGCTTGCAACAGCCCATAGCTGTACCTCGCCCTTACAGTAACTATCAATGGCAGGGTATCATTTTATACCTTGCACTCTTTTTTTCAATATACCTAATAAAGACGTTAAATAAATAAATAAATATATCCATAATGATTACTTGAACATTAGTAAGAAAATGATTGCTCAAAAAAGATGCTGGAAATCAAATCAAGCATCAATTCCTATCTACCAATAGTGGATCGATAAGAACGATAATCTCTTGCAACGACGATTTTATCTTGAGGAACTAGCTAAAATTCTAGTCACTCTGAATGTATGCTAAACGTGTATAGTCAGTAGAAGCAATATAGCGTGGCTGTAAATTAAAGTATTAAGATATCGATTGATACAGTGACACGTTTTTCGATTGGGACTGAATCAAAGTTAACCCTTTGCACTACAGTGGCGCCACCACAGCGATATTCGTATTATGCGCCATTGGCGCTGCTAGGGCGACATGCGTACTTACCATGGAGAATTTTGAAATGCGAAATTCAAGGTTAGGTTAGATTTTTTATATCATGAAAATAAAGTTTCCTATATTGTTCAAGTAATGATATATTTTATATTAATAAAACAAAGCAAATTAGCAAAAGAAATAAACATAAATATATTCATAAACAAAATTTTTGGTTTTCAAAAGTTTCACTGCAAAAGTGTACCGAAGTTGGTAATCAATCGTGTTAAAAAATGATCGAAGTGCAAAAGGTTAAGTCATACTTTATACGGTTCTCATCTCTTCAGATTTCCATATTCTCGAATATGTAAACTTTGACTCCTACAACCTTGCTATATTCTTTCCATCAACTATTCTTTGCCGCTAACTTAATTCTTTTCGCAAAGGACGTTTTTCACTGTCTTACCTAAAACACGGGAATCTTTCTTTTATCGTGTTCTCGTTACTTATCTTTTCTTAAAAATGCTGTAGAACACGTTTTATAATGAAAACATTTTTTTTAATTTCAATATTTAAAAAATTTCAAGCATTTTGTTTATTTCTTTTTTATTATTTTTATAGCCAGTTTTGGGGTCCTATGATATCACCTGTGCTGAAAGTGTTAATGCTTTAATTTACCATTACGCTATATTGGTTCCAACGACTATACACCACTTCGAAAAAAACCCACTTATTTGTCTGTTAATTGCTTGACATCCATCGAAAAAGAACTCTATTCTTTCTCCGTGCAATCTTCGACCATTCCGGAGCGATTAATCTCCCAAGTAGACGATGAATTCCTCATTATCAAAACTTTCTTCCATTCCAAAGGTCTCTTCTTTTCGAACAAAAGCAATTTCATCCGTATTATTGCGTGTTTTTAATTATTCTTTCTCAGTTTCTTCGTCTCTACCTCGTGGAATATTTAAGTTCCTGAAAAAGCGAATAATTCGTCATTATCGATATTTTATTTCAATTCGGAGATCTTTCTTTTTCAATCGTATGTTGCTACAATTTTTCGAAAATTTTTCCTTCGTCCTTTTTTTTCTATTTCAACCTAATTGCGTGATTCCACTTCAAAGGTTCTTTATCTTTGAATAAGAACAATTTTACTACTCGTTATTTTACATATTTAAACAATTATTTTTCTCTAATTTTCACTTCTGCCGTATGTTTTCAAAAATGAAAAATCTCCCAAGCAAACGATGAATTGCCCATTACCAATTCTTCGTTCCATTTTTCTCATAAAAATTCTCATATACATATTTCTCGCGACTTTTCCTTCTTCTCCGTTTTTTCAAAAATATTCTCACACATTTTTCGCAACTTTTTCTTTCTGTCACCATTTGAATTTCGCGCTCTAATTTTTCAAAATCAAATATTCCAAATGCCCCTCTCGTTTCAATAAAAAACCGACGCTCCGAGCGTCACTATATCTGTATGTTTCTTTTTTCGTAAAAAATTGAACTTTGGTTTCGTTTAATTTCGGGAAGAAACGTTCGTCACGAGGGAAAATGGCATCATGTCGGACGGAGAAGCACAGGGAACAGAGGTGTCTGGTTTCTTTCGGAAGAAGGTCGAGAGCGTAATGTTCGAGAATCGTGGAAAAAACGCGCATTCGCACATTTTTTCCACACAAAAGATAAGGAGAGGAGAGAACACGCGGAGCTGCATCGCGTTTAATGTTGCTAGGGGTTCGCAACACGGGTTTGTTGACCGAATTATCGGGCAACTTCGAGGCGCATTATTGAACATGTTGCAGATCACGCAGACGCCTCGATGTTAGACCAATCGAGAAAGTTCCAAGAGATTTCGATATCGTCTGTTAAAAAATCGTCGGAAAAATAGATTTTTTAGACGGAACTCTGTTACTTCATGTTTGAGGAAACACAAAATTAGTTAAAGATATGGTATTCATTTGTAAATTAAATGATTTTTCTTTGATCGCTGAAAACTGTGAATTTGAGGAAAAGTAAAATTATTTGGCAATATGTACTTCATATTTATAGGTTATAATACGAATTTGTGAATTAAAAGGTTTCTTTATTTGTTAAAAATTGCATATGTAAGAGAAGGTACAATTATTTGGAAATTTTTAACTGCCATAACAAGAATGTAACGTTAAATGTAATATTGTGAAGTATTGTACATATATACCTATATATACACAAGTATAAAATTAATTACTACATATCATGGAATAAAACTACGTCATTTACCATAAATCATGGAATAAAATGACATACCCTATATAAAACAATAATATCATAAAACAATAAAATCACATAACCTTAAAAAAATGTACGAGATAACCAATTTTTTAATGTACAACATGATACAGTTGTACGTCTCCATTATACCTTGTAAATAACCGCTTCGATCGCGTCAACAAGTAGTACGTGACTTCGAAATGGTTATATCTTCATATGGATTAATTTTGTTTACGTTCTCGGTGGTAGTATAAGCAAAGTAATGAAAAAAAAAATCGTCAGAAACGCGTGCGGACATCTATCGGAACGAATGACCAGTAGTTTCAGCAATATTTTATAAATAACCACACAGACTTCACTGAGATATTGATTTCTTCAAAAAATCTTCTATATCTGCATCGAGAAGTTGCAATTAATTAGTACGCTTTCCTTGTATTAGATGACACTTCGTTCTTTTTAACGAACGTTATCGGCCGAGCTTTATCCAATTCTCACTATTTCTTTTAAAGCACCCTCTATGCAATGAAACGATTAACTGTGAAGATCAATGCATTCTTTGGCATACAATTTCGACATCGAAATTCGCCTTTGCTTTTTAGTAACATTTGACTCCCTTTCATAATTTAGTATTATTATTGATTAATATAGTATACGATATTTTATATTATTTATTTGTATGTGTAGTATACCATATTTTTTTCGAAATTTTTAAACAAGCAATAAATATTTAAAAATTTTAATTCAGTTTAAGGACATTTTGTTTGATATGAGAAATCAAAATAAAGAATATAAGTGTAACTGAAGCTCTTAGGTCGGTTTCACCCTATTTTAATTATAAATAAAATTACATGACAAAAGCAACCCCGTACATATATGCGCATAATCCGCGTTGATAAAGCGTAATCGTCGCCATTTTATGGAAGAAAAATATTTTCCCTCCCACCAGTTACATAATCGTAGAAATATTTCCCAGTGATAACAGAGGGCAGTTTCACATGTGTGCGTAGATACTTTTCTATCTTACAATTCCACTTGCAGTTTAAAAATTCCACACTTACGATGACATAACCAAAGATGTGTCAAAATTTTAAGTATGAATTTAGTAATTGATTATCAAAGAACAAAGTAATAATTCGTGGAAATTGTTTCTTTGTTTCGATTTGTACTTCGAATTCGTTTGTTTACGAATTTATGCTAAATTATTGGAAAGTGTCAAGTGTTAATTATCATAATTAACAGTTTTTTCTCAATATTCGGTTTGGGACGAGAAACAAAAATATAATTGATTAGTAGATTCCACAAACAAATATTATAATACTTTTGTAAATATCTGCCTGAAGATTAATAACTTGTTTGATGAATTTAAGTTTGACAAATCTTGTCCTGATAAAAAGTATTTATATCTCAAAATACATATTACTATATTATTAATACATATTAATAATGTAGTTTTATATTTACGAATTGAAAAAATGGATATCTCTAAAACACTCAATGTCTGGATAGACATTAACACTTCATAGTTTTTTTTAATGAGACCTCCCAATTTACACCTAATTCCAAACTACTTTTTATCTGTAGTATTAATTGTATTCATTTACATCTCAGTATTTACACTACAATGCTTCATGTACAAGATAGCTTAATTTAACTTTTTATTTTCCAACTTATTTTACATTTAAAAATATTATTAAAATTTATTCAATGTTTACAATGTCTCTACCTTACATTCTTCTCATAAATATCCATATACATACATATCAATTCACTATACTTAACCACATTTAGTTATGCTTTATTTATATATATTTTTAGACAATACCCTACCACAAGCAGACAATTTCACAAAGCATCCATTTCCCATTTTCATGACTCTGCCACTTCACTGCACCTAACCTATA